CCCTCAATCCGAAAATCTCTTGAACACTGTTTAAAAGAACGCGCGCGGCGCGAAGGCGAGGGCCACAATTCGAAAACACTTGCAAATTTCTGAAAACGCACGTGCGCGGCGCTAGGGCGAGAGCCACATGTTGAAAACCGGTCGCCCTCAATCCGCGAAGCTCTTGCACATGTTTAAAACGAACGCGCGCAGCGCTAAGGCGAGAGCCACATTGTGAGAACGACCCGCCCTCCATATGTGAAATTGCTGCTCACGCTTATGCTGCAGGGTCGTAAACGGTGAGGAAGTCTCAAGCGAAACGCCCGGCCCGCCCTAAAACTGGCCTCGGGGCGCGACAGGGAAAAGTTCCTTACAAGGATATGGAATGGAGGAGAAGGGGGAAGAAGAGAAAGAGGGGGAGAGGAGGAGGAAGCAGAGGAGGAGGAGGAGGAGGAGAAGGAGGAGGGAAAAGAGGAGGAGGGGGAGGAGGAAGAGAAGGAAGAGGAGGAAGGGGCGGGGGAGGGGGAGGAGGAGGGGGAGGAGGGGGAGGAGGAGGAGGAGGAGGAGGAGGAGGAGGAGGCCAGCGTACAACAACGACGACGACGACGTCCCCGACCCTACCTGCCCCGGGCGGCGCGCCTGAACAGTCGGCGTCGCCACGTGCAGCCTCCGCACGGCGGCGTACGCCGCATCAGTATCTATAGTTGGATTCGAGAGAGCGCAGGGAGGAAGATGGCGGAGGGAGTGGTAGATATGATGAGCCAGAAACACCTCATCAAGGATCTGGATGGTGCAACCTGGGATCCCCCATCTTCCGAGCGGATCGGACGACAAACAACGGTGCCTGAGAGCGGTCGAAATCGACGTGGCGAGTCTAGGACACGACGCGGAATGACACCGTCGATCTGTCCTGCTCACAGCCAAAGGTGCACCCTACACGGCCTCGCTCATTCAGAGTCCGACGCAACGTCAACCGACCCCCACTCATCGTCCGAAAAAGCCCAGGACCAGGATGGAGGGACGGCTTTCGAAAGCTCACGGATGGCGCCCCAATCGGCGGAGGCGATCGTTCGGGCCCGATCGGGCAACCACTTTAAAAGACGACGCGAGTTCATGCCAGGCAGAGCGGACTGAGGCCAGCAGGAAAGACAGGCGAGCTTCGCGCGACGCCGGGGCTTCGCAGGGTCTTCTCGGCAAGCCCGGGCAGCGACAGCGCGCGCGGGGCTGGCGGCTCCAACGGCAGCGTAGCGCAGATAACCGACAAAGGCCTTGCACTTCCAGCGCGGCGGGTATCGACGGCCTGACGGCATAACAGTCAAGCGGCACTCGTCAAACTGCTGGGACTGGGGCGCGTCAGTCATTCTTACGAGCCAACCATATATGCGATGGTAGTCGGGCGATATCGAAATAACAGTCCGAGCAAGAGACGCGACGCCAAGGATCTCGAGAGGGCAAACCTCGGGGCCGGTCGAGCCCTGCAGCGGCGCCAAGCCCCTAGCTCCAAACGCGCCAAGCGCTAGTCGAAAAAAATGCGCCAGAGAGCCCTTTTCTCAGCATCTTTCGTCTCCGTCGGCAAGGGCTTTAACTGCGTCGCGCAGCTCAACAACGCCGCGCAGCACGCTCAACAACGCCGCGCAGCGCAACAACGCCGACCACGACGACTCCCATTGTGCACTACCCCACCTGCACGCTAACACAACAGCGCTACACCCAGCGACAAGCAATCCCCAGAGCGGAGCTCCTCCGCGCAACACGTGCGTCTTCTGCACCTCGAAGCCGCCCACCGACTCCTTCACCTTCCGCACCGCGGCCTCCTTGAAGAACGCGCACTGCGCCCGGTTCCCCTCGCGGGAGAAAAAAAAGCACCCGCCCTCCCAATCCCACTTCCAAGAGCACCTCCGATGCTGTTACATGACTTCGACGATCCGCCGCGTGCCCCCGACGCGAAGTGAGGCACCCCAGAGCTCATGCAGCCCGAGAGGTCCAGAATCCTCGGGCGCTTCCAGGCGCAGCCGCGGTGGCCCGCATAGCCGTCCAGGACGATGTGTTCGCCCAGAAGAGCCCGAAGAGACCCGCGAGACGAACGAAGACGGCCCCTAGACAGAGCGCCCCAAGACGCTCGGGCTCGGCCCCAAGAGAGCCCAAGAGACCGCCAACACACCCCAGGAAACAACCGAGAAGCGTCAGAAGAGGGCCCCAAGAGGCCAACTCCATTTACTTGCCCATTAGGTGGCGCTAGGGTTGTTGGCCGCCTCGCCTTTTCGGTCCTTGAACGCTCCAACACTGCCCAAGGAACCCCCATGATCGCCCCGAGAAGGCCGAGGAGGCTCCCAAGACGGCCCCACGACTTTCCAAGAAAACACCGAAACAGCCCAGGAACCCCCCAAGCAGCCCAAGAGGGCTCCGCGACAGCCCCAAGCGCGGCCGAAGAACCAACCAACATTTTAATAATTCTCTTGCACAGGGTGTCTAGAGCTCCGACCACTTTATTTCGGCGTCGTCGCCCCCCCCCCCCCCCCCC